CAGCCAGGTAATTGTCCACCACTCGAAACAGATCGAGGAACGTACGTACGAGAGGGACGTGGGTCGATGCGTGACGTGCAATGGGGGTTGCAGGGAGTTCAAGGTGGGCAGGGTGGCGCAGCAGCGGGTGTACAGGGGACGCAGGACGCCAGTCAACAGCAACAAGACAAGAAGAGTCCCGCGGTGAGCCAGTGAGGCCAGGAGTCCCCGCGCCCCCCCACCAGGGGGCGACGGGGGCGCAGGCCCAAGAACATGGCTCCCTAGCGGGGCGAGAACCCTAACCTCCCCGGCGCCTACTGAGCCTCGACCGGGTGCTCGGCCGGCAGGCTGCCACACGTCGGCCTGTCCCATCCACTGGCCTGCCATCAGCCCGGCCTGTCCGGCCATCACGCGGAGCAGCAGGTGCAATTGGGCCCCGCCGCGGCGGCGGCTGCAGCCGCAGCCTCCATGGGGATGGAGTCCTCGGAGCTGGTCGCGGTCGCCCATTACCAGGCGCACCAGCTGCAGCGGCAATTGTTGGCCCAGCAGTCGGGGCCGGGCGGCATGTTGCCCCCGGCTGCTCAGCCTACTGGTGGAGGCTTGACGCAGTCGCTACAGCAGCCGCAGCAAGCTCAGTCTCAGGGCCAAGATCCGCTGCAAAGCCTGATGCAACAGCTCATCTGTTTGCAACAGATCGAATACTTTTTCGCACAGCGTGGTCACAAGTGAGAATTCGATTCGTCGCCGATTGAGGAGAGGATTGATGACGATCGTGCGAGGAGGAAGATGTGATCGGGTTTCCCTTTTTTTTTTTTTTTTCTTTTTCTCGAGTGACCAAAAATTTCTCCCCACTCTGGCGAGATGGAACCTCGAGGGGGAACTCTCCGTGATGAAGACGAGAAAGTGGAGAAGTGCGCGCCTACGTCACATCGACGACGTTTAGACGACGACTTCGCTCGTGTTTTGCGACCATGATACTTTAACTAACACGTGCTGTTGTGATCCACTCTGTTCGAGATACGCTGTTATTAATTCGAGGCTGAGAATGGACGCGCAGTTTTCCGTTCGAGGTTTTCCCCGATACGCAGAATACACCAGGTACACCAAGTACGAAACGCAAGATATATACGTATGTGTATACATGTATATGTATATATGTATATGTATATGTATATCTATACACGCGCAAACACTTATCGTCGGTCGATCCTCGAATGGAGAAAAGGGGAGGTGCGCGGTGTCTCCGAATTCGTCGAGCTGCAAAGGAGGCAGCCGATCCGAAATCAAAACGCATCCGCGTGGCGTTTCGATGTCAGAACGATCCGAAATACCATTAGCGAGAATCGTGAAACCCGGCCCCTTTGATCGAGATTATACAAAAGGGGGGAGGGGCCGATCGTTTAGCGTGTGATAAAACATTAATGTCAAATGAAACAAAGTATATAAAAGAAAATAAAAGAATAGGAAGGGGAGGATGATTGGACTGTCGGTGGTGAAACGAAATGGAAGAGGCAGAAAGAAGAAGTGGAAGAAGAAGAAGAAGACGAAGAAGACGAAGAAGAGGAGGAGGAAGAAGAAGAAGAAGAAGAAGAGAAACACACGATAAAATAATGGGGGATGATGATAAAGTTGAACGTAATACGCCGCGCACGGCAGGGACGATCGTTCGCTCTGGTGCGAGCTGTGAATGAATCTCTATCCGTCAACAGTATTGATATAATTAATAGAATAAATGAATATAAAATATTGTAAGAGGTATATCGTAAGTACGTATTGTGCAAGCGTATGATGCGAGATATAGGAGAGAGCGAAAGAATGTGTGTATGTGTATGTGTGTGTGTGTGTGTATGCATGTGTGTATATGAGAGAGAGCGATGTGATATATCGAATTGGATGACGAGAGGGTGTGGGTGTGTAAGAGACCGGATTATCTCTTTTTAGATTCGAAATGAATTTTTAAGCGCGGAGCCCGATCGAACGCCAACGCACAGGCCCTGATTGCCCCTGCGTACAACAATCTTTCGAACATTTTATCCTTTTTATTGTTGCTATTCTTTACCTCGATGAC